CCGCCTCACCCCACCCCGCCACACCGCGCCGTGCCCCGCCCACGCGTAATGCCCCGCTTCCTGGGCGAGCAGGCGAGGTGAGACTCGGGGCACGGCGCGCCGCTGTGCGACACCAGCAGTAAGATGTTCGCTACTTGCGTTCTAATTTTTTACGATTGAAATTATGTCTCCTGCCTGATGTTTTTGTACCACGACGCGTACTGGCTGCGTTTCCTTTTCACTGCCGTCTGTGCAAAGTAACGTTCTGCTCGTGTGTTTTGCTTGCAAGTTAAAATCACGCGAAAAACGTATTGGGATTGCTGCGGATTTTGCTTTAAGATTCGAAACATGTGTGTGTTTTTTGTTGATTTTTTTGCGGAAAACACAGTGTGGTTCGGCTCGGCGGTCGCCGGGGCGGAGGCCGAGGCCCCGAGCAGTGCGTGGGTGGAGGACGGGCCGGGGCATTCCGCGCGGGTCTCGTATCCGGCTGCTGCGGCCGGGCCGGGGGTTACGGCGAGCGGCATTGAGAAGGACACAAGACGGCGAGACAAACGCCTCGAATGGATGGATATGACCGAGATAGATCTACGCGAGCAGCGCGGCGATACGCGGGGATAATAATGCCGGGGAGTGGGTAGAGATAGATCTAGACATAGAGACTTCTCTGTAGACGGATGGCTAGAAAACTAGACGGATACGCTGTGTCCAGACGGACAGGCGGGCGGGGCGAGCTACCTGAGCTCCCGCATTACCGCGTCACCTGGAGCCTCCTCCTTGTTCGATCGCCGCGCCCCGATCACGCGATCCCGGTGTTTATCTATGCTGATTAGGTTGTTTACCCGAGCGCCACGGCAGAGGGAATGCCCGCCCGGCCCGGCCCGGGCCCGCCCGGCGTGTCGTGTCCGAGGCCAACAGTTTTAATTTTTCTTCGATATCGACTGGATGATGACGCCCGTGACGAGGAAGGCGATGACGCTCGTGCGCGGGCGCGCAGGCTCCTCTCCGGCTCCTCGCGGCCGCCGGGCCGGGCCGGGTGGGGTGGATGAATAAGCGACGCCGCGGAGACTTGCGCGCGGGGGCCGGCGCGAGCGAGGCGAGGCGGGGCGGGGCGGGACGATGCTCTGGCGGCGGCGGCGGGGCCCCGCGGCCAAACGGAGTATCAATTTGTCGACACGCTCGCCCACGCCGCTGCCGTCAGCTGCTGCCGCTGCTCCGCGGGGCCGCGGCCGAGCACCACAGCCGAGCTGCTGGCGAGGTGCTCTCCTCCTGGCACTGCACTGCCGCACCGGCTGCAGCTCCCTGGGGACGTCAGTCAGTCATGGCGGCCATAGCCTGCGATGTGACGAAGACTGTAGCCCTTTACCCGTCCTTGACCGGTGGCCGCCTCCTCGACGAGAGGGCAGTGCGTATGGCCCTGAAGGTCCGCTCCGCGCCCGCCGACGGGGACGGGCCCGCCCACGACCGCTCCCGCTCCTGGACCCCGCCCCGTCCCGTCCCGCCCCGCCCTGCCCCGCAGACTCTAAAGGACGCACGCGCAACAAGTTTGGCAGGGAGACGCGGCTCGACTCGGGCGCAGGCGCGGAGGAGTGGGACAGGACACTGCAGGACCACCGCAGGGACCTGGGGGGCGGCCTCTACGGCCAAGGCACGGCCGTATAAACAATACGCAATGGCACGGGGCGGAGTGGCGCAATGGCGTTGCAGTCACGATGCTGACCGTCGACCTGGCGGGGCGGGGCGCGGTAGGGCGGGGTGTGGCGGCAGGCGGCAGTATGCGCGCTGCAGCCTCCCCTTGTCACACCTCTCTTCTAGCGCCCCGCCTCGCGCCGTGCTCGTGGTGCGCGGCGTCCGCATTGTGCTTAGCGCCGGTAAATACCCGCAGAGGTATGTCGCTGGCGGGGCGGGCGGGGTGGGGCGGGCACCTCGCGGCCAGCCACTGTGCAACCATCTGCTGCCCCTGTGCGAACTGCAATCACATAAGAACAAACGATAGCAGAGAGATCGTCGATTCAAAATCGTACTGCTAGTACTGCCACCACCGAGCACAAGAACAGTACGTATACCTCTGATGTGCCCCGGGCACGCGCGCCGAGACTTATTGCCGTGGTGCGGAGCCCTTTGTCTTCTCCTCTGCTTGCCTTCCACCTTCCCCCAGCAGCTTCCGCTCAGACTCGGCGGCGCCTGCTGTAACGACGCCCATTACGCCCGACTCTGCGGCCCAATCAGCGCTGCGAGACGCCTGGCGACGTCCCGATAACTGGATCATTACGCGCGGCGGCCGCGGCGGTGGTCATCGCGCAGCGGCGTCGCGTGGCGCCTGGGAGGCGTCGCGACGCCCTGCCTGCTCTATGTGCGGGGCGGGTGGGGTTCATTCAGCGGCAGCAGCAGCAGCAGCTGGACCGGGCGAGGACAAGATTTATGTGTCCCGGAGGAGAGTCGAGGGAAATAGACTGCGAGGCCAACGCGACGATGATCGATTTGCTGGCTGTAACTCGAGTTTCTGTTCTCATTCACCACAAACTTCAGCACAGCGTAGCTATAATTCCTTTACCTTCCCTGCCGTGCTGCTCTCAATTTCAACAAAAAACATAAAGACGGCGACGCATATATTTTTTTTCGGTGTGACCCATGACCCTGTCAAACCTAATGGATATGGGGTCACTCGCCCGACTTCCCGTATGTGTGATGCAATGATGAAGACGTCTCACTCTGTGTATCGTTAATTATTTCTTTACATTTTTTTTGTCGTTCGATCGATTGTAATAATCAGTTTACCGGGTGGGCTGCGCGTCATTATGTCTCGCAAAGCGCGTGTCATCCTGGCAGCCTGGAAGGGGGGAGAGGGGGGGAGGAGGCACGAGTTATCGGGCGTGTTTGGAGGGAAGTCTTTCGGCCTTCACAGCTAGCGCTTCACAGCCATTCATGCCGAGCGCGGAACGCGCAGTCGAGCCGCCGCCGCCGCCGCAGCAGCAGCAGCAGCAGCAGGCGGACACTGTACATGGGCAAGGCGGCGGATTGGTATCGCTCTCCGATCAGCATCATGAGCCTCCCCATCATGCCGCTCCATCACGCGCCGCACACATGGCACACACACGAGCCGTGATGAAACGCACAAACAATATGAGACTTTTCCACTTTATTGTGCGCGTTGTTTGCTCATTTTGTCCATTACTCTCCTCGGTGGGTTTTCCTCCGCGTTTTTCTGCTCAAATATAGCGACTGCGAAAAGTTGTGTGTAGCAGTGCCCCTGTCAGAGTGTGTCTATCTCTCTGTGTGTGCGTGTGTGCGTGTGCCAGTATTGGCGCCAGGCGACGCCAGGAGGCCACGGTCGCCCCCATGTAGGGGAAGACACACCCGCTCCAGCCCCCTCCCCCTTTTTTCCTCCAGTTCCCGGCGGCGCCTTCCTCTGCGCAGCCGCCACAAACCACACGGTGTGGAGCAAAGGATCGGGGTTGGGTGGCAAAAAAGTATAAATAAATCGTAATGGTAAGTGATCTGATTGGACAGAGACGCTTTTAAAACGGGACGCTGCTGCGCTGATATATCACTGATATCTCCCTACACGTGCATGGCGAAATGGCGAAGTTGTCGATAGTTTTCCTCTGAGACTAAAACAACATTCGTGCCTGTTTAACGAATATTACGCCCGTTGTGTCTGAGAGTGTATGACGGCTGGCTTCGTGTGAGTGTGTCTGTGTGGCCTGTGGCCTATTGGACCTGTCCAGGTCGACTGCTGCCATCACCGGGGCTGACAGGACCGTGTATAAACACCTTCGTCGCCGCCGTCAGCCGCCGTCGTGGCTCTCGCGGCCGTGGTGTTCTTCCCCGCCCCGCCCCGCCCCGGCACGCCACGCCCCGGCCGCGCCTAAACGATCAGTAAATGGCCGCTTCGGTAGCTGGAAGAAGAGCCTTAATCCCCATCCCGTGATTGGAACGTTTAATAATGAGACGTATGTGGGCGTGTGCGCGCGCGTGTGTAGGTGTGTGTGTGTGTGTGTGTGTAGGTGTGTCTGTGTGCGTGTGCGCGCGTGCCGGTGTGTGTGTGTGTGTGTGTGTTTGCAAGACCCTCATCATATGTCACACTCGGAGCGCACGAATAACAAGTTGTGCGAAATATCGATCGTGCACCACACGCGTCAGTCAAAATGATACCCCATTATTACGAGATCAAAAACGCAAGCGTCCTGAAAAAAAATATAAAAGTAAAACATAACGCGATTGTGTTTTCAAAAGCCCATAAAAGTTGTTGTGTTGTGCTAATCCTATATTTTCTCTGTTTCTGTTCGCAGGTCGGCCGGGGCGCCGGTCCGCCATGGCTAGCGAGTCACGCTACGGCCTGGACTACATCGTCGAGAACCCGGAGTACACGCAGAAGCTCGCGGCGGGTAAGCCTTTTAACTAATATATGCATATTGGGCTTCTATGATACATGATAATGAGTTTCCATACCTGAAACTGAAAAACTGTTCGCCGTTGGCGTGTTTTGATTCCTTCATCGTTATTATTTCTACCAACACGTTGCCCCGTTCCGGATTGGAAGTCGTAAAAAGGCGGGCGCGCGGTGGCGATAGTGAGTTTTAGACGAGGGCCGAGGACCGCGCCGCCCACCGCTATCGCTAGACACGCTTTTCTTTTTCGGATGTGCATCGGGCGTCAATAGTGAGGTTGATTGACTCGGCACGAGTTTGAGCCGCTGAGCCGCTGAGACGCTGCCGGGGATGGGTTGGGCTAATTTGTATTCAGATATCGATCGGTGCGGATGAGGCGCCCTTCCCTTCTCCCTCTCCCTCCCTCCCTCCCTCTCCATCTCCCTCTCCCTCTCCCTCCTCTCCCTCTCTCCCTGGCGCATCGTGTTGTCCTCTCCAAAGTGCCCTACTCTGGAGGCATAAAGGCGCGCGGTGGCGGCACGCTGAGGTGGACTGAATAGAACGGGACACGTGGAGAGGGGAGGGGCAGTGGGGCTAGTCGCACGGGGCAGCAGCACAGCGCCGCGGCGCGGGGTTTGGTGTTGGTGAGTGGATCTGTTGTGGCGTACTCACGTGGGCGTGCAGTGTGGGGGCGGGGCGGGGTGGGTGTTGGTGGGCCTCCTTTTGTTGTTGGTGGATCGCGCGGATCCCGCGTGTGTGTATTCTTGATCGCGTTTGATCCGATGCGACGGTTTGGCTAAAACGCGTCGACTGTTGTCTTTGCGCGCTGTCTGCCCGGGCACGGCCATGCTTATTGCGCTGCCGGCGTGGAGTGTACGACGGCGATGCAAGGTGCTGAGCTGAAAACTGATTCGGAAGGGCGTTCCATTCGTGCCCCTTTTCTATCTCTCTCCCTCCAGTATGATGGCGGGGTGCCCCACATGAGTGCGACAAGGACAGAGGTGCGAAAGGCGATCTTCTGAATCAGTCGGCAGCACGGTGTAGAGAGATACGGTGGGGACACTGGGGTACCTGGGGAGGTCTCAGTTTTGGATCCATTATTAGTTACCCAGTATGCCGTCCGCCGCGCTGCTCGGCAACTCGTACCGGTGCTTCTCTCTCGCACAGTGACTACCTGTCTCTCTCGCACGCACGGGCGGGCGCCGGCGCTACGCTACGCCACGCCCGGTACACGTTGCCGAGCAGCGCGGCGGACGGCGTACTGGGTAACTAATAATGGATCCAAAACTGGGACCTCCCCAGGTAGGCCCGGAGCGGCCCAGTGTCCCCACCGTATCTCTCTACACCGTGGTCGGCAGGCTGCTCTCGGCCTCCTGTCTCACACTGGAGTTGTAAAGCATGGAGCCTGACTGTCTCGCGGCGCGGCGGGGCGAGTGCTCCGCGTGAGACGACCCAACGATGAGGTGTGGAAGGGCGGGGCGGGGCGGGGTGGGG